CACAGGAAAATATGCACCTTGTGGAAATTGAAAGGGTGACATCAACGTTAGCGAAGGAGAAATGCCGTCTGAAATCGAATGGTGAGCGTCGCCGCGCTGGCGCGCGAATACGGCAACAATTATATATTTATTTCATTTGGAGGATTTGTAATTTGCAATGCATATTACCTGACGTTCAAAAAAAAACCTGCATTAATTTGGAAGAATATATAAATATGTTTTATCCGAGACACGGATGTTTTGATTCTACGGCGCATTTATACGCCTATCGATGCAGATGTCTGGATTTAAATATATTATATTCTAATTCAATTGAAATTATATTCTTTTTCCTTTAAGATGGCCACCATTAAATGATGCAAAGACCTTCTTTAATCTTTTCTGTTGTTTAATAATTTTATGTCCTTTTCATTCAACGATTTTTAATTTTGGCACCTACGAATATAGATCTTTGGACCATAACCCCAGATTACCTACATTCCATCAAACCTACCAACAAAAAGACGATGTCATATATCAATAATATATAAAACTAATCAATTTATTAATATTCAAAAATATATCATCATCCTCATAAAATATATTATTTTTATTCTTTACATATTTCGCGATTTACGAATTATCCTATGAATTCCCATCCTATATACGATTATAATCTATCCTATGCATAGATAAACCAAATTCCACTCAATATCCAAATAACATCCAAAATTCTGCACGTCCATCATATCATTCGCATCATCAAATCTCATTTTCATAATTTTTCTATTCGTCACTCAACGACCATTATTCACTTCGTTCGCTCTAAAACCTCAAACCTAACCTATCGGCTACCTTTCGTAATTTTAATTAATATTTCGAAAATATATTTATATATGTCGTAAAATATCATATGAGTAGGGATTTTTTAAAGACGTGGTGGTGTTATCATCCTTGGGTGCCTACGTAGAACCCTACGGTTTGGCTACGTTTCCACAATGAAAAACCTACGACAGACATGGCTTATTCCACATCGCCTACGGGAAATCTACGAACGTGAGGTTTTGGAGCATTATTGTTCCAACTTGCCTACGGTATCCTACGGTACCATGCAATTCTTGCGAGTGGAAACGTTTACGCAGCAGTTGACCCTTTATATCCCTTTATCTTTCAGATGATGAGCTCGGCACTCTACGATGGGCAAGTTGGTTTCATTGGCTATGTGCTTCACAACGGAAAACTAATAAGCAAACAACGACTTCACACTCATCATGAATTTTGGACATAACTTCGGAGGCGAGGGACAATACCACGCGGGACGTGCACTAACGCGTATAATCTCCTCATGTCTTCGATATTCGGAATACTTCTCAGCACAATAGGTGTTAACATCTATTTGAGAGTACTATAGGCAAACGGACATAGGGGAAGGATAAACAATTGCATTTTCGCCTACGGTGCCTGTACGGAGAACCTACGGAAAATCCCCAAGAAAATAACACAAAAGAGGGTGCTCTTGCAAACTGCCCTGATTCATATCTCAGATTATGAGATGAAAGACATCTGCTACAAGAAACTGAGAAAAAAAAACACGGTCAATTCTAGTTTGAATCAGAAACACAAGCTGGGTAATTTCAAGGTATGCTATTTCGATCGATTCGATCGCCTACGACAAACGTTAGACCATACAATGCCTACGACCGCCTACGTCCCCAAGCAGGTTGCCTACGCCAGTCTTTTGAAGATTACATCTTGTATAAACCCTTTCATGTCCTAAAAAATCTCTGCTCATATTTCCATTATAAAAAAAGAATTATCAAATACAACCGTTCAAAACAAATTATTTTGCGCGAATAATTTCAATTCCCTTTATTAATTAAAATCGCAATCGAAATTCATATCCTACCCACCTATTCCATAATAAATAACGTCCATTTATTTCAATATAATCTACACATATTTATAACAAAAAATATTAAACAATATTAAATACATAACTACATTATTTCGAAAATAATATAACAATATTTAATTTTCTATATTGTCAAAAACACATTATTCTAAATAATTATTATTTATAACATATTCTATTTAATTTCGTTATATTTATATATAAACAAAATTTTTCATCCAAATCATTCATATATTAACACATCTATCATTTCCTCTTAATATTCCTTTAAATTAATATATTCCTATTTTTTCATAATTCATCCATTACCATTTATATATCTTTAATTCCATTTAATCCAATATTTGTTTATATCTATATCATAAATAAATCAATATTCAATTCTTTTCACTCCTCAAATTATCAATTTGTTATCGTTTAATATAATTCGTCCTTTTATCCATTCATCCAATCATCGAATTCATAAAATAGCAATATTATTAACCATCCAACCTACCTTCATTTCTATTAGCTATATCATTATTTTCATATTACAACTAACAATAATTGATATATATTTTTTTTGTTGGATAGTATGCAATATTTCAAAATTTATAAAGCAATATACATTACATAAACATCCCGCCGGGCTGACAACTGCGCCTGCGCTTTTGCGTTTTTTGGGTCGTCAACCTTCAACCAGTGGGTTCAAAAACCTCTCAAAAAACCTGTGTTTCGGCACATTCGACTAACAAAAAACAAGCCTTTCACGTCTCATTTCCAATTGCTTTGCGTTTCACTGAAACGAAATACACATTTGCTGACAAACGCACCCATGAATTTTGCACTTTTTTGGTGGCCTTTGAAGGCATTTTGTTATTTCGCTACTGCGAAGCACAAATTCAAAAAAACTCTAGCCAAGCGTTGCGTTTGAACCATTTTCCCGTCAGCGTCGAAGGACGTTTGAAACGGTGTTTGCAAGAGTACCTTTGGACAAGATTTGGGGGTTGACACTTCACCATTGGACATGAGTGTGTGCATGGATGTGGGAATTGCCATCTTCGCGCGAGCACAAAACCCATCTATGGAACCTGTGTTGACATCCAGTGACGGCTGTGGCCCCCTTCTCTTGACAACATTAAACTCGTCCACCGTAGCAGAGACAGTAGAGGTACGTGTTGTTCTACAAGATCTACGTGTAAAAACCACCGGTCATCGATGCACACCGTCGACAGCACTTCAGGGGACCCCCTCCTACGGACAAACACCAGGTTTGCAACAGAGAGTCTATAAAGTCAGGGCTGATACGAAATCACTGCTGCAGATGACCGTCTAAACACTCCGCATCCTGGAACTCGGTAAAACGAAGTAACAGGATGAAAAAATTGAAAAAACTTGAACCAGCGACAGGAGCAACCCAAGATGCATTGTGTAAAAAAGCCGAAGACGTTCGACATCGCGGACCGTACGTCATTGACCCCCCCCCCACCCCCCTATGATGCACATTAAAAGCAAAAACTCGGAAACACAAGCCACTTTCAGCAAAGAAAGCATAAAGGCAACATAAACATATAAGATCTTGCCACGGAGGAAACATGAGAAAACACTGTTATTTACAGTAAAAATGAAAGGTTCTGACTTTGACGCAACGTGTGACATGATGATCATTGCTTTGATAAAAAGTGCACGACTACTAGCGCAGTTCTCAGCCCGCTAGCAAACATATAACATAATATAGTACAGTAGCATTTTCGTGTATCATATGTGCTTTTTCTTGATAAGAACCGTTGAAATTGAATTAATTCAATTCCTCAGGATCAACACATCGGTGAACTGTTTATCGCGGACAAACTGTTGAGGTTAAAAGGTTGTGCTGAAAAAGATTGTCGCAAATCCTATAATCTGATACATATGATATGTTCCAGATTGTTCCAGAATAAACAAGCCTCAATATACATTTATTAACGCAAAAAGGTTTGGAAAGGTTTGTAACGCTCAGGGCTTACAGGCTTTCTTCCATCAACGGCGTCTTCTCCGGGTGGCTGAAAAAGAGCTGCAATGTCAAAGTGTCGTTGCTTGCCATGTCCTCCAGCCTGCATCCGAGAATGCCAGTTCCGAGAATGTGAGCGGTCCGAGGCCTTCGGAAGACCGGAAAACACGGCCGGTCCGCGGCCTTGGGCCGCTCCTTCTTCGACGGACATTGTGAGACAGCAATGGCATTGCGTCGACCTTGGCAGGATGAGGAAGGTCTTGGGGCGGGGAAAAAAAGGGAGTTGGAGGATGAGGGCTTGTAGCCGAAGTTGAAGGCATGTGAGGTTGGTTGTTTTGGGAGTTGGAGGATAAGGATCGGAATTGGTGTGGATGTACATTGTAGGGTGAAACATCGCAAACAAAACAACAATTTGCCGTGCAGCAGCAACATCATGTTGCTTCCTCTCCTTCCCCATTGCCTGGCCCTCATGCCACACCCGATCACAATCTCATCTGTGCAGGCAAGGTGCGGAGACACCCAGGAAATCCGATGCCGCCTGGATCCACTTCAATGAATCATCCCGCAGCCAGCTGAATGGAAGAACTAACATGCGATCCTGGCGGCGCTCATGTGTAGCACATGCTGCCAACGTGGAGATCCCCTTTGCACAGGTCCAATGAAAAACGTCATTGCCAATCCGTTCAATCAGTGATGTGAACGTGTTGCAATTGGAAGCCAACACCTTGTGTGTGAGAGGACTTCAATGGACTCCATCATCCCACCCCTTCTCTCTCCAGCCCCACTCTGGAGGGATACAAAAAACAATAAGAGCCAACAACCATCATAAGTTCCCAAGCCCAACTCCCCACGTTGGGCACAGGCTGTGCCACTGCCTGAACATCCATTATATAGTCTTTCAATCAGTGCGCCCATAGTGGGCAAGCAGTCCAACATGCATCTGATCTTGTCAAGGAGGTCAAGGTGCATCCTCCTTCATCGACCGACATTGCAGTCTCATCAGTCTCATCTGTTCGTCAGGTTCCCAGTCAATCCGTGGCCTGAAACATTTGCTGCAGTTCCTGGTATCTCTGATGAAGCAGTGCCGCTTTGGCGCTCAGCGGAACGCCTAAACGCCACATACTCAACTCGGAAAGGCCTGGCCAGGTGGATGCAGTGTCTTCACGGCACCTTTAGAGCTCTGAAAGTCAATGAAAATCCATCATGCACACAATGAATGTTACGGTAAAGTCGGTAAATTGACCGCCGCAGTAGTTATTTCCACCCCATTCCAAGGATCCCCAGGCCCGAACTGAGCAAAGGCACGAGAAGTCGCGTAAGGGGGTAGGAGTCGTAGGAGCAGGATTAGGAGCAGTAGTATGATATAGCAGTCGTAGCCACCTTCCAGTACCGTAGTGTAGCACACGATAACAGCACATCCGCGACAGTGTCAGCGTGCCTCCGCCAGCACGGCTCATTGCCACAACCTCCTTGGAAAGACATGCAGCGCATTCGTTGGACCTTTGGAAAGATTTGGAAACCAACTCAGTGTCGGTAGCTGCGAGTATGTTGTCCTTGTCAGTGTCAGCCAGTTGGTGCCACGCACGTCGAAAGTCCTGGAATGGAGTTTTTCCGGTTGTTGGACTCCAAGGTTTGCAGCCACTCTACAGCAGGCGAAGGGATGTGCATAGGAAACACTTGATCATGGCAGTTCTTTTCCTGCTCCTCTCTTCAACTTGCAGTCGAGTAATCTTGGGAACTACGAACGGCCGGGGACTTGTTGCTTGGTTCCTTAGACCTCAGTGGCATATATGTGTGCGTATATATATATATATATATTATATGTGTGTGTGTTTGTATCTACACAAATATATATAAACATGAATGTATGACTATGACTTCTGTCACTGTAATATTTTGTCAAAGCTGAAGCTGGAGAGCCCCAAAACAGGGTGTGGGCTGCAACAATGCCAAGCAATTCGCAGGAAGTCCGAATACCTCAAAAAAGGTTTTTTGAGACTGTGGCCGCCGTTTCCTTTCTGTGCGTACTTCGTTAAACCTCAAGTGAGCTGTTGCCAGGAACTTGAGCAATGGGTTGCGGCCACATTAACTCAACCAATCATTGAGCCACGTCTCATGTCAGAACGAACGCCGCAACTGCAAATTCTGAACGCAAACATGTAGTGAAGTAGTAACTATCAGTAACAGGTAGTTCGGGGGCTACCAAGCAAATTCATCCAGCCCTCTCCGGCTTGGCGCGCACGTTTTCTCCTCGGGGGAGGTGTCAAAGCCTTCCTGACAAGAGAGGCCAGGAGACCCAGCAAACACACCCACGCTTCTTCAGTCATGTGCTGCAATTAACCACTTATGAAACCTGAACGGACTGAACTCTTTTGAATTTCACCTGTACCTTTCATTTGGGGCTTTGGTGAAAATGGACGGGCAGCTCGCTCAGGCAGTGCCAGTGGCAGTTTTAACTTGTAGCCAGCTTCATATGCCCTTGACAGTGAGCTCCACATCCAATCAATCGGATCTCGCCACATTGTAATAATCTTGATGCCTGTCAACACTACACAACAAAGAGTCTGAAAGAATATGTGAATATGAATTCAATCAAGCCAAAGCAACCAGGATGTGGCGCAACAACATACATAATTCTGCCAAGGTTGCCAAACCAAATTATACAACTCGTGGAATTTGGATTGGAGGTGTGCAATATGCCAAGCAGTGGAAAGGGAGTATTGGCCTACTCTGACTGGCGAGCTCATATGGAAGTCGCATCAGTCAAGAGTGGTTTTGGACATTTTGCTGCAGCTTTGAGTGAAGCTTTCTGAAAGCTGTTCTTGAATAGAGGCCAGTGCCCGGTGTTTTCCCGAATCAGTGCCTGGAATAGACTTCAGATTCTGTAAGCACTGCTTACCTCGGCCGTTTTAGCCAAGGTCTGCCATGGTCTGGGCATCTGAACACAAAAAGAACTGGTTTGTAACACACACACGCATATGAAAGTGGAGAGGAATTGCATGTGCGTGGAGCACGCAGGAATGCACATCTATTCATCACCCAGTTGCTGTAGATGAACTTGGGATTTCTGAAGCCAACCTCAGATTGAAGCTTCATCAACCGATCACAAACTTTGGACCTGGTATTTTGCCATTCCGACACTCCGGATTTCAAACAATTAAATTCTGTACAACAAACATGCAGGTGTCAGGCGGCTGCAATGACCCGGTTCCTCATGCGGTTCAACGCATGTTCCCTCCATGTTGCTTCAATGCCGATAGGAAACAGTCACATGAACCTGGATTGAGGATGGTGGACCCATCTAGCTCAGCAGGCAGGGAAACACCTGTGGCATTGTCGCATCTTGCAGTTGCGCAAGTCCCTAGTTTCTAGCCACACCCACCGCACCACAATGTGCACATAGTCCAGCATCTAAAGGGTCAAAGTCCATCCATCATCATCGCACAGTTTGATCCATGTCCATCCATGTCCCACAGTACCTTCAATCCACGTTGCTATGGCTGGAGAGCTCGTGGAGCCTTTGCCAGACATGACCTGCGAACACTGGCCCGAACAACAGTCAGTTCACAGTGTGTCTCAAATAGAATTGAACAACTTGGTTGAAGATGGACTTGCATTATGCAAATTCCTGTCTATAGGCAAAAGAAGCCGCAACCATCTGCAGCCACAACCTGCTCCTTCGACCATGTCAAAGAAACTCAGCTCAAGTCCATGATGTCCGACACCATGAGTTTGCATTGAAATGAACTCACACTAAAACTAAAATTAGACAAGCACCTGCACCCAATCCCTTGCCAAGTGTGCAATGGGTCCCCTGATCCCTTACCTAGTGGATCCCCTGATCAAGCATCCCGAGCCCTCACCAGTCTCTTGGACTTCAATCCAACGGTCCCCTGAGCGGCAGCATTTTCCACGCACCCTGCCGTCCCTTAGCACAACATAGAGTAAATATATAGAGCAAACAACTGAGCAAACATCATTTAACGGGCGTCGCAGCATTGATTAGGTCGCTCGCGTCTGCTTTGCCACTACATTCCATATGCGGAGATGTCAACGTAGAGGTCAGCCCAAAAAGCAGCAGTGGAACCATTGACCACCCCCAGGCCGCTGATTTGGCCACCTCGATGAGGTGATCCTCAGCCCAATGCTTGGGCAACAGCTTGGGCGCGGTGCATTGCCAGCCCCACAACTCAATGCTCCGATGCCAAGAGCTCGGCACTGAGAGTTCCTTCGGTGTGACCGGTGCGACTCATTGGTTGGAGGGTTGCAGCGTTGCAGCGTTGGATTCCGGTTCAACATGTTCAAAGGAGGCCCTTGGCAAAAATGGTGCGGGTAGCATCTTCGCCGTGGACTATACCAGTGCCAAAGCACCATAAGCGTCAGGGGAGTAAGTTGGAAATTCTCGGATATACAGCGCCTCTGGACTCTCCTCAAGTGGATCACTAGAATAGCTAGAAACAGCAACCAAGGTCCGCCTACTACACCGGAGTGAAGGTTGATGGAGTGACGAACACATGGCAATGGATAGAAGTGGATCTGGCGCCCGTCAAAGATACTGGGAGGCTTGGAAAGCACATGCTCTATACGTGGAAGCGCTTTCATCTTGCTCAAGCTCGCCACTCTCTTTCACATAGCGCACCATTTCATATGCTTTTTAATCCTGAATCATGAACACAGGCAAGTTTGCTCTTGATCTTTGCATCCCGTCCACCCAGGGACCCAGGCTGCTTCAAACTTCAAGCGGCATGAATCCCATCGATAAATCGAATGTTTGGATGTTTGCTCAAGGTTTTCTGCAGTGAAGAGGTGCCAGCGTTGGGTGGACCAACCTCATCGAACAGCAAAGGCCGCCAAACGTGTCTGAATCAGCTGAGAGGTTCCCCCCAAAACATGGAGTTCCAACAGCCCAGAAATATTCAGAAATCGATCCCACAGTCAAGGCATGATAAGGCATGTCAAAACTTGTTAAATTAGGAAATTAGGTTGGTTCACATTCGGCTCTTGACTGCAGCCATGAGGTGACAGGCAATCGTTTTCCATGGTTTTGGCATGTTTTGGCATTGCACTGCTGCTTTCTACTCCTGTACATTGATACATGGTCCGCGACGGCTTTACTTGTAAACAGGTTGCGAGTTGTGGCGTCTAGTCTACTAGCTGCTCCAAGTGGCAATAGCGAAGTCTATTCGCAGCTGGGCCCAATGAACAAGCTCGTTGACTGCCACATGCTTCAAGTCGTTCTGGGCAAAAAGAGAGTTCTCGCTCACTCCCGTGGGCAAGGGGATTGATTCTGTCCGAAACAGCTCATGCCAATTCAACGCAATGGGGCATCTTTCTTGACACTTTCACTGCAAGCTCCAGGTCACAAACTGCTTCTGAGGGGAGCTGCGCTAGCATCTTGAGAGGAAGTGGGTCCAAAGGACACATGTTCCAACATGTCGCAGGTGAAGGAGGGAACAACAAAGCGTCACAGAGTCAATACAAAGAACTCCAAGGTAGACAACTATGGACAAGTATGGGCAACTCAGATTGATCCCATCAGGACAGGTTTCAATGTCTATCGCGCGCATGCCCGTGATGCTCGGGAGGTGAATGTCATGCCTAAGTCCGATGGCTGCCATCTCTCAAAAAAAGTGCCCAAGATCGCATGTCAACTCTCTCTCTCTCTCTCTGTCGACTTGGTCGGCCGGTCGCAAAGACTCTCTTTGGGTGCAACATATTAGCCTCCCATGCTAGGCCTATCAAGGCCCCGACAGTTGTTTTAAAATGAGATTTCATGGGAGAACCTGTCGTTAAACATCCCGACGCGTGGGTTTCTGAACGTGTGGTCTGGTGGTTTTTTGCTTTTATCTATAGCACTCCAGCGTGGTATTTGCAGTGTTTTTGCAAGTTGAATGCAGAGAAATGAGTGTATTTCTAAGGGGTTTTACAACTGGTTTGGTATTTGCCACGCAAAACATGCTTGACCATGCCTAAAATGAGATCTCATTTTCAAGAAAGAATGTATCATCACAGGACATCTGCGCCTGTTTCTCACATGCCTCGCAGCGTTTTCGCAGTAAGTGTGGCCAGGGAATCATGCTTGGCATGTTCCCATCGCCACTGCCACGCCCTTGCGTGACGCCAGATCTTCTGATTGATCTTTGTCTTATCGGTGACATCCGTGGTTCTGATCTGCTTGGGCAAAGCTTTTTTCAACAAAGACCAAACTCCATCAATCGTGCCCGTATGAACTTTCAGAGTCTTTCTCTTGAACTTCACCGTGTGACAAAACTGACCGGACCGGTGAGAACAAGCAAAGTGTTTTACCTGCATCTTTTCACACAAAGAAGGATAGACTTTTGCCCCATCAGAGAACAGAACGGTTCGTTGGCCAAGTCCGTCGTGACTCATGATGTGGTCCAAGACACCGCTCTTCTCAATCGCCTTCTTGCCTTCCACTGGCGGTTTACCAAAGTTGACCGCATCAGCAGCCCCTGCAAATCAAGACGCCAGGTAATTTATCAAAAAGGATTTCGAGGCATAAACACACACACTCATGGATATGCGTACTGATGTGAATGCGGTGCCACACGCCGGCCTAGGTTTCCAATTCCTAAGGGTACAGGTAGGGAAACCTAAAAGGAAGTGGAGGTCCATCAATGTTCAAAGGCCATCAAATCCAAAAGCTCCAACGTTCACGCGACAGGTTGACGACGTTCGTGCCAGTTCGTGAGTGACTGCAAATGCATTAGCTCATTAGCACTTTACCGCAACCTGAGAAGACCTGCAAACAGCCTGAGCCAGGGCGGACCACTGGAAGACCTGAGGCATAAACACACACACTCATGGCTTTTTTCAACAAAGACCGAAATCGGCCGAAACATATACATCGCTAAAAAAGCCTGCAGTACCAACATCGCATGCTCATCTAACGCGGACCAACGCAAGTTCCTGTTCGGAACGCCAGATTCGTCCATCGTGATCTCAAGTGTTGCTCTTGCTCCTGGCGACTCCACATCTTGCGTCAGAACCTGCACTAATTCCATGGCCATCGACCACGGCAAATGAAAACGCCCAGCCACAAAGATCTTCCACAAAAAATTCAGGTCAAAACACCCTTTTGACTTATGCGCCAGCATACACCAAATCTCGGACAGGACACAAAAAGGTGATCTTGTAGGTCGAGCCAACGGCAAAGCCAGAATGAAGACAGGTCGCTGTGAACAGCCTGGAAGCCGCCCAGCCGCAGCACTAAGACCAGGGTCGCGCAAAGAGCGCGACGGCGCAGGAGCGCCTCCATGAAGACGTAAAACTGGAGCCAAAGAAGGAAAAGTCCGACCAAATCGGCAAATACATCATGCAAATTGCCCCCCCCGAAAACTGCGAAGGAAGATCATTCGGCTGTGGAGGTGCGAATGTCCTCACATTGTTCTCCAAACTCTCAGCTTCGGTGGGTCGGGACGTGCACTGGTAGTCAGCCCTGGTCTTCATACTTGGAAGGAACTTCATATTGCCTTTGACATCTGACAGCTCCGAAAAGGTACGTGTTCGAAAAATGCAACCACTACACGTGCGGTTTTCCACGCGTAGGCTTAAACATGCACCCTGAGACCTCTAACATTGAGCAAACTCGCGATTCTCACTCGGCCAGCGGCATGATCTCCGCAGCATTGGTTCTAATGGACTCTGCTGAGCAGGCCTCAGGAATCTGCCAGCTGGGTGCGCCAGCACACCCAGGCCTGCATCCCTAGGCCCAAAATAGAACACAAACATGAAAGCAAGCCTTTCACGTCCTTTAAACTTGATGCGAACGCACATGCGTCCAGGATCCACCTGTGATGTGTGAGTGTACTCGCTCGCTGCCACCAATTTGTCGATTGAACCCCTGCGAGGATGTTGGATGTCATGCGTCGGGTGGTTTGGTAGCGGTACCAAACAAGAACACCCACAGCTCGGTTCAAATCCTTCATTCTAAACTGAGTGACGGCTGGTGTGCAAAGCCCCAGGAGCCTTGGTGCTACTTGCGCTGCTGTATGGTTGTTGCTGAAAATCAACTGATTCAAGTGCACAGTGCACCACTGGTCGTTCGCACAGAAATGGACCTTCCCAAGACTGTCTTCTAATTCAAGCAGGTGTTTATTCATGTTTATTCCGTAAAGGATCAAAATAATATCATGTTTTGTGAATCATGTCCGCGTTTCAAGGCCAAAAAGTAGGAGACCGACTGTTGCTATCCATGTCATTGTGTGCTCGCACGACTTGGAAATGTTCTGGAGTAACTACAGTTCTGGAGAACATCAACCTGCTGTGATTTCTCAAGATTGCAATGTCTTATTCCACACTCTTCAGTACCTACTTCAGCCTAGCCAAATGCTGCCAGAATTCCAAAAGTCCTCACCCAAAACGGGCTCAGATTGGCTGCTGCTCTTGGAGAAGAAATGCAGCGAGAAACACCGATGCCCACCTCAAGACGGACAATCATACGCACACCGCTGGCTTTCATGCGCACATGGCATTAAAAGCAGCCTGGAGCTGCCTGCTTGATCATGATTGTGCATTCTACAGTAGCACTATGACGGATCAACACATCACAATGTTGCAGCTTGCTCAAAATATCCATCCATCAAACGTGTAGTTTATGCAGTCGAGCCAAGCTTTTGTCGTACCAATATGCTGCATTATGGTTGACAAAGGCTGCATCCAAACACTTTGTGCCAATCACTTCCACGTCTCCTGTACTCGGCGGATGTCATGGAACATGAAAGCTCTGCCAAGCTGCTGAGCAACAGTCTTGGAACGAAAGTATCTTCGAAAATCCGATCTGCCTCACAGCACCAGCACGTATACATCATACAAGTATATACAACCAATAGGTTGAATCGAAACAACATACTGTAAGCAAGGCTTCTCGTGATTGTCAGCACATCGTGAAATAGCTTTGCAAACAATTATTGTAAGGCCTATAAACCCCGTGGACATGCCAATCAGTTCGAATCTTTGGTCATTTTCACACGTCTATCAACTGTGGCTCTCTGCAAGTGCCTCCAAAGTCCACGTCAAACAGGGCAGGAAAATAGCACCTGCGCAGTGTAAGAACTCCTCGCAGCTACTGAACTGATCCGCCTCGGCTGTGCACGGACGAGCTCCAAGTGCAAAACCAGAATTCACTCTTGCCATCTCTTGCCAGCTGCTCGCATTGTCACATATGTGGACCACTCCGCCTTTACACTTGGAAGATTCTCTGCCTCCGCAAGGCAGTCAGGCTTCTTATTCCGTGATCTTCACACATCCCACGCTATATGGAAAAGAACATGCACAAAGCCCCTGTTGCCCATGACGGCTTGCCTTCGAGGCCACAGCTTCAAAGGCAACAAGGCAAGCGTCTTCCTGCAGCAAACAAGACGCGTTGGACGCAACGTTCACAGCAACTATGTTGCCGACTCTCTTTTCTGACTCGACCGTGGAGCTTGAGGAGCTAGGGCCCTAGGTTTCGAGGTTGAGAGGGTGCTCTTCACGCTCAACAAACGTTAATCATGGTGAATCCATCGCTCACACTAACTATCACGACCGGCCTCGGCACAGCAGTTGTCATCGAACTCGCTCACAGATTGAAAGCATGGGCTGGCCTTCGGGGTCGTGCAGCAAAGCACCTGCGAGCTTAGTGGACATGCCGGACAGGTGGCATCAAGCAAAACCTCGCCACCCTGCCTGCGACCAATATCAACGAAACATGGCTGCATGACGCATGTGCTTGTTCAAAGATCGAGAAATCGATTGACATCGTCAAGTCAAACTAGGGCACTTGGCCGTTGCAGGGGAACGAATTGCCCAAAATCCACCCTTCGCAAGAAAGAAGTCGGAAAGCATCAGCAAGCGGCACCCGCCCCAAGCCGGCTGCAAAGCAGGAGTTGGGTACAGCGTTGTAGTGTCGCAAAGCATCGAGAACGTGTTCCTCATGTCCTCATCGATGGTGTGCTGGACAGCTGATTGTGTGGAAGTGTGGGGCGCTGAGTCTGCCAGAACCGTACCAAGGACGAGGAATGAACAAGAGCAGTTGGTTCCGATTTATAGACAGAGTAGACCTCATCCTTCTTGTCACTGTTCCTTCCAAACATCCTCTCATCCTGCTCCAAATCTTTCAAGCACGCTCAAGCCCATCCGAACCAGGTTTGTTTGTCCAGCAAGAAGCACATGATTCTTCGCCAATAGGGGGAAGGCGATGGGCCCACTCAGCCGACCCTTACTCCGGCCGTCATGGCCCCGCGTGACAACGAGCTGCCGCCCAGGAGCCGCTGGCCGAGCAGTTCAACCGGCCGGCGAAGAGTTCCACAGCCACGCCTCAGATGCGAAGAGTTCCATGCTGTGCGGTGTGTACGTGATGCGTTTTGGGGCGGAGAGAGCAACGAAGAGCATCACTGAATCAGTCCAGAAGAGTCTGGTGGGGTCATATCTAATGGATAAAGCAATCCGCCGGCCCTTGGGCGCCGGCGTGTTTTATCAATGTGGCTTGTATGTAGCTTAAGTTATGTTGAATCTAAATGTAATAGGAAAAGTGTCTCTGGAGCAAGTTTTTGCCTCGTCTAACTTGACCCCCCCTCCCCCCCCCGCAAGAACATCCCGAATGTATGTAGCTGACATATGTCATAGCTAAAGTGAAAGGTTGTGCGCGCTTCCTTCTTATCGTCGTTCTTCTCTTGTCGTTGTCCATGCATTGCGCTTCTGCTTTGCATGCGTTTTTCTCAGGTTTTGCACCTGCACTCACGTATCTATCGTTTTTTGCAAACTCAGACTGCTTGGAAATCCCCATGCCACACATGTCCTCATTACTCTCTTGTATCATGTCTGACGGAATGCTATGTACATTTGCTGCTTCGCACGGTCTAAGTCGCTCATTGTGTCACATGTCATATAATTTGTCTTCTTGCTTGGCAGGCTATAATTTGCAGCATCCCCCAATTTCATCTCCCTGTTCTCTTATTGTATCATAATGCACGTCATTTCATGTAGGCTCCTCTGTTGCTCCAGCTGTGTTCTGGATGATGCTGTTACTTTTTCTGCTCTGTTGCAGTCTTTCCTCTTGACGCAAAAGGTAATCCGCATCTTGGGACCATTGGCTGAAAAGGCCGGCGGAACAACCCGCAGGGTGTAAATAATTCAATAACAAGCAAAACGTGACACACCCGAACATTAAGACTGGCTGGCTGTAATGAATTCACTGACCATTTGCCTCATATTGCCTCAAGAACATACAATTTTGGATTGTTTTGGTATCAAGACACGGCTCAAGTCATCCGGCGAAAGGTCAGCATACTTCTCGGAGAAGGGCAGTGCTGTGATGGACCTAGGTGCGTGGCTTTGGAAGGCGCTTCCGAGCGTGTGGGCTGTGGGAGTGCTGTTTGCAAAGTCTGAAGATGGTCCAGGTAATTATGACGTCGAGGTCATCATGGTCATCTATTATATAAAATGTCTTTTTAGGCTATAGGTTTATTATTGTTCAATTATTATTATGTATTATTCCACTGACACCCCACCCCAAAAAACTTCACTATATAAGCGCGTTTCACAAACTCAACATGGATCAACGCGGTGTTCCTCTGCAAGCCGCCACAGGTGGAGAAGCAACGAACGCATCGACAGGACTCGCCCAAGGTGCCATGTTGGGCGTTGCCATTGCGGCGGTGGCACACGGCAGGGCGTTTCACTGAGTCATTACAGGGATATGGTTCTCTCACCCGGACCTGTCACCAAAGACACATATTTGAGTGTTAATTAATCACAGTTGTCTGGGCTGGGCTAGGCTGGGCTGGTTGCATACATGCACATCAAGCAGGCATCCGCCAAACACAAGCAGCTATAATTTGCAAGTGTTTGCGCACGTTGATCTTGAGGCAGTGCATGCAAAGGGTCTGATGAAAGCCACCTTGGCAAGGAAGCAGGCCTTGAATCGCCATGAATAAAGAAAGCCTCATCCTGAGGAACGCCAGGAGCCCTCTCAACCCTTCAGCTTCTGGAAGTTGGTCTCAGGCCAAGGGCAATGAACAAAAGGTCATCCCAGCCACTTTGCACTTGAACACTTCCTGATCTATCGAATCTATCGCCTATCACATGGGTTGAAACCAACACGGTCTCTTCCACAAGGCCAGGTGGCAGTGAATACCTGATCTTCGACACGGTCTCCCCTTCACAGCGCTTCTTCGCTCTCAAACCTGCTCCTGCTCCCCCTTTGGGGGAAGGCTTTGGCACCCTCCGTATTACCTTGTGGAAGGAGAGCCAAAAAAGGCTACAAAAATGCTCAGCAACACCGTGGCGGGCAGCTGAGGGTACATTAAGCCTCCGGAAGACATAGGCCAGGGACGAGGTGACCAGGGTCTTGAGGGTCCTTATTCACTGTTGAAATACACACATGGCTGCCGGTTATGTGTGGCTCTGTCCGGGGGTCAAAGCATCCCCTCAACCTTCCCGACCTTCCCTAACTATTCCAGTCCGTCTCTCCAAACAGCATCCACCAGTTCAATTGTTAGGCGGCGTTTTTGGCCGATGTCACTGGAGCATTTAGGAATGCACCGAACTGCAGCGTGAGATCAAAGACTTTGTTCCTACTCCAATTCTGTCTTGCAAATATCAAGATATATTGCGGAGGCAGTAGCCCTTATATGCCTCCTCTACTCTTAAAACGGTTCTAAACTTTGGATGTCAAACTGAAAGAAACATGAGGGGAACTCACAGAGTAGGTGTGACGACTCTTTCTT